TAGTTTGAGGCCAACCTGAGCTACATAGCAAAACCTCCATCAGAAATAAGAGAAGGGAGAGGAGGACCAGAGGGAGCAGGAGAGGAAGAGGAGTGGAGGGGGAGAGAAGGAGGGAAGGGAAAGAAGGAAGAGAAGGAAAAAGAAGGAGAAAACTAGTTACCAATTGCAAAGTCTAGACCTTATTTAAATGTGGGTGGAGAAGCCTGATATTATGAGCTGCTTTAAATGACATTCTTGTGAACTCTAGCTGGAGTAAAGATAACGTGGGCAAAGTTGTTGGGGATAAGAATATAAACCTGCACAGCTGGTTTGCCCTCCTGATATTCCCGAGTGGCATTTGTGGGTCATTCTTCACACCTGGGGAACCTGCCTCCTTCTTAGCCTTCTTCAGGAGAACAACAGTCACATCACTGGGTCACCTGGGGATGAAGTGGCATCACAGAGATGGAGCCCAAGGGTCACTGTGGCTCTGCTGCTGTAGAGCCTACATGTAGCCATGTCAGACACTGGTGACATACAGCAAGCTTGTGTGGCGAGGACACAAGAAGCTAACACGCAAGCCACTCAGCTGTTGTCCCTAGGAGGTTGTGGGACCTCACAGTGGGCAGGGGTGAGGCCCATGAGCCACAATGAGAAGGCAACTGCACCATTGAGCCCAATGGAATGTTCTTTAGAGAATAAGAAAGTGGAGTGTATTGGTGGATCACTTAGAAACTATATTATTTGTAATACTGTCTGGCTGATAGCTTAAGAGTATTTCTAGTTAGCTCTTATATCCTAAACTAACCAACCCATTTCTATTAATCTGTGTATCACCATGAGGTCATGACCTACCAGCAAAGTTTCAGTGGGCTCCAGTGAAGGCTTCTGTCCCTGGCAGCAGCTACATGGCTTCTTCATGACTCCCTCTACTCTCTCCTCCTGTATCTGCTTGGAACTCCTGCGTTGCCCTATACTGCTAAGCCACTGGCCAAAACAGCTTTATTTATTAACCAATAAAAGCAAAACTGACAGATGGACTTCCCACACCAGACTTGACTGGAGTCCTGTTTTTAAGCCATGACACAGGGGTCTATGGGAAGGACAGACAAGAGGGCAGTGATGGCAGAAGGAAGGAGTAGGCAGGAGTCTCCTTCAGTTGGTGTAGAGTTGGTGTGGCTTGACTTAGGGCTAGCACTGAAGTCAGTAAACCGTTGTTGCACCGGGAATGTATTCTAATGGGCTTGTGGATATATGAATGAGAAAGGAAAGGAACAAGCATGACCTCAGGAGCTTGACTTTAGCAACTGAGATAGGGATGAGGTCTTGGGAGACACGAATCATGAGTAGTCAGTCAGATGTCCAATCTGAGAGCTGAACAGAGGTTCATTGAGTCAACAGTTTAGAAGGGTCTTGGTTTTCTGTCTTAGGCCTACTGTGACACCTACTGATGACTGGACATAGGTGCTACATTACTTAAGTTCCAAATACAATAAAACCGGGGGTGGAAAATGGCTTCGTAATTAAGAGCGCCTGCAGAGGACCCAGGTACGGTTTCCAGCACCTGCATGGCAGCTTACAACTGTCTGCAACTACAGCTCCAGGGGATCTGGTGCCCTCTTCTGGCCTCCATGGGTACTGCACACAGGTGGTGCATATACGTGTATGCATATGAAACACTCATACACATACACATTTAAGAACTATAGAATAAAGTCAAACAAAAAAGGTAGTTCCATCAAGTCCTCATAGCCATGGAAGTGGGTGAATGGCAGCCATACTGGGAAACATTCTGCACAACATTCCGTCCACTGCAGGTTGGGCAGTGCCATTTGACCTTGGGCACGGCTAGGTATGTATATCAGTGGTAGAGTAAGGCCCTGGGTCCAACTCTCAGCACTACAAAACAAAACAACACCCCCTTCTGCCCTTCTCCCTAGAAAAAGTAATAAACCAAACCCCTTAAGGCTGGATAAGGTCATAGGGGATTGAATGCACATAGAAGAAAGACAAGGGTTGAGCTCAGGGCCCTGGGCCCTGGGCTCTCCAAAGGTATGTATGTATGTATGTATGTATGTATGTATCTATCTATCTATCTATCTATCTATCTATCTATCTAGTCTAGACATCACCAGCAAAGGAGCCAGAGAAGGGAGAGGCTGGATATCAGCACATACACTCTCCCAAGAGAGGAGAGTGAAGACCAAGCCTGCTATTATGATATATATTTAAAAATAAAATTACATTTCCATAACTTGCTTTTTCTATTCAGTAGTGCCTTGTGACCTGTCCATGCCAAGTGTCAACTTATTTTTCCATTTCTTTTTAATGGATTCCAAGAAATCCATCATGAAGCTTATTGTTAAATTTGCCATCTGGGGGGCTGGAATGATGGCAGTCACAACACGCGCTCACGGGTTGGGGACCCTTGAACAGTGACCAGTGAGACCAAGGCCTTCCATTCTTTCCTTTAACTTCAATGAAGTCAAATAGCCACATGTGGGTGGCGGCTTCCGTCACCTGCCTTTGGGAAGTCAATATGGTGACGTCATCAGGCTGTACTTTTCTTTCTCCTTCATCAGTGGAAGGCATCAGGGTGAGGTCTGCAAACGCACTCGGGTATGCAGAAATTTAAACAGTACAGGATGAATTTGTTCTTTGAGCCGTTGACAGATTGCTTACAAAACCAATTGACACCAGGCAGTCAGGAAGATGCCATGGGCATTTTATCCCATGAACAAGTAGAAAAGAGCGCGGCTCGTGGGTCCCTCTACCCTGAAGAGTAACCCTACATGTAAGCACCTACCAATAGTGACACCATGGCAACAGGCATGCTGTGCCTGTGAATCACAAGAAGGGATTCCAGGCCACAGCTGGTGCATGTCTGTCGCTACTGGAGAGAGCCCTGGGACAGAAGAAATGGGACTCTCCTTTTAATCAGCTCACTCTGCTGGACCAATTGTACCACCAAGAGCCTGATTTTTTGATTTTGTGCCTGTTTCAATCTTGCCTTTTCAAAGAGTCACCCCCGCCCAGAGTGGGCAGAGAGCCTAAGCCTCCTGTTGTAACCTCACTATGCTCCTTCCCACCTGCCTCAGGACCTCCGTATGGCCTGTACCCTGCTACCTCCTGGGGTCAGGCTTGGACTTGCAAACAGGCAAGTCACAGGGAAGAGCAGGGCTGCCCTTTAGCCATAGATTTCCCAGAACAGAGAACATGGGACTGGGCAGCAACCTCAAGAAGAACCACAAGAAATCTGTCAACCCTCTGCCACATGACTGTGCCCTAGGCCTGTTGCCAGCTATAGTTAACTGGGTGTGCAGTGAGTCAGTATGCCCCTTGGGCCTCGGTGATTTTGCCAGTGATTTTCCATCACTGCCCCCTTTGCAGATGTCACCCCGGTCCTCTGTGATAAGTATTGTGCACAAATTTTCCCCACCTGATAGACATTTGGAACTTTTAGTAAACCCATTCCCTAGTCCCATGGCTGCTGTCCTGGGACAGCTATGTCTACCCCTGCTGGCTCATTCTGTGCAAACAGCAGGGGCCCTGACTCTGACTAACCCACCAGGAATGTCCTTGCAAGACGCTTCCTAGCCAAAGAGTACTTAGAAGTAGCCTGGGGTGTGTTTTCTTCACGGGGAGAAATGAGCCAAAGAGCTGGAATAAGAAAAGCCAGATGTTACAAGGGAGTGATCCAGTGGCATGCAAAAACACCTGGAATTTCATCAAACTAGGGATGGGGGAGGGGCCTGACCTCTTCCAGGTCCCTGGGAAGGTGGTGCCTGATTGGCACCCCTATACTTTGCTTCCCTTGCATGTCAGTGTGAATGAAGATATCAATTGCTGTTTATTTAAAACAAAGGCTGGCCACAGCCAGGTCTGCTCTGGAGACAGGGGCGGAGTACCAGTTCTGCTCTTGGGTGAAAAGAAAGCTAGTTGGATGTCAGTTGCTTGGAAAGTGGATCCAGGCTGCCGTGGGCATCAGGCTGGTGGCAGAGACAGGCTTTGCCCCAAGCCAACCAGGGGTGGTGGTGATGGGACTGGCTTAAGATGGGGCTGATTCATGATGAAGACCCAGGGGTCACAGACAGCAAGGCAGGAAAAAGAGTGGAGGTACTCGGAGAGATGGTGCCGACTGGACCCTTCCCATATTACTAGAACCTCTAACTGTGTGCTGGCCTTGAACTGGGCGTGTCTTTCGGCGATTTGTCCTGGACCCCGCTCTGTGTTGGGACCCAGAGTCTCTCCCATGCCTGATAGCCACTTCTCTGGGCTTTCTGAGTTCCCTCCCCAGAAACCCTCTACGACACTCTTTCCTCCCGGCTTTAAATACTGGGGTCAGATGAGCCATGTCCCCCAACCCCAAGACCCCTACATGCCAATCCCTAGAGCCCGTGTGGTCTGCTCCTAGCCCATACTTGCCCTTAGTTGCCTTCCTTTGCTTCTGTTCAGTATTCACTCAAGGTCTCCTCCCAACTCCCCAAAAAGCTGACCCCAAAAGACAGAGGGAAGAGAATAGTTGCCAGGCAGACTGAGAACATTTCCTGTGGGCAGAGGCAGAGGGAAGCGTAAGCAATGAGATAAACTTTGACTCAGGAGGCGGGTAGAATGAGGTACACAGGCTGGGGTCACCCAGGAAGAGGGGTGCCCCTCACATCACTGAACAGGATGGAAGCCAACCTCTGCCCAAATCCCAGTGTCCAAGTGATTCAAAACCATACTATATTCCTCACACAGCTCCGTTAGCTCTTTTCTCTCGTGAAGGTGGGACCTCGGGACCATGCAGCTCACAAGACAGTGCCCAGGAGCAGAGTCAAGTTCAAAAGATTTCTTCAGAGAACAGAAAGCCTCATTTTCATAACGAGAAACTCCAAGTTTGAAATGGGAGCCATTTCCCAGGGCACGGCTTCCCATCCATTCTGCCTACCGAGTACCTCTGGCCTTGCACCACCGGGACACCTGAGGTGACGGCCACTTGGGACACCAGAGGATCTGAACTTCATAGCTCAGCCACTTACTCAAGTCTTTCTTCTTCTCTCCTTCTGAGGTTGAAGTCCCGCTGAACCACGGCCCATACGTGCTTGGCCTCCTCGTCTGTGAGCTTAGAAAGGTCCAGCTTTTTCCCCATCTCTGCGCCTCATCCAGGCCACACCTGAAAAGTCGTGGGATCACAACCAGTCAATGCCAGGAGGCCCCAGGGACAGCAAAAAAGTCACAGAGTATGAGGCAGATCACAAAAACACCCATGGATTCCCCCAGGATGTCTGTACTGGGACAAATGGTTTCTTAAATGGTTAAATACCTGGCCGGGGACTAGGGCCAGTTAATGAATTTTGTACAGTTAAGTAGATGTATAAGGGAATTAGTTCTTGCCCCTGGGGCATAGATGGCCGCACTCACTGTTCCCACTGTGAGATGAGTGTCTGTTGTCCCCTATTACATATGTTCAGAAGAGAGGAGAGCGTGTCTAAGTCCAGTTCAGCTCCGAGTCCCCGGGGCCATTGCCCGTGATCTTCAGAGCTGACAATGCTGGTCTCAGAGGGCAGGGGAGCTCTGGAGACTCGTTCCCCATGTAGACATGATGGCTAATCTCCACTGTCAAAGTGACTGGGTTTTAAATGATCTAGAAGACACTCCTCTGGGTATAGCTACAAGAGGTTCAGCTGAGGAGGAAAGATCCACCCTGAGTGTAGGCAGCGCAGCATCCCATGGGCTGGGGTCCCTCACTGAAGGGAAAGGAGAGAGGAGAAAGGAGCTGAGCTCCGGCATTCATCTCCTTCCACGTCACGACTGTGGACTCGGTGTGACCTGCCTCATGCTTCTGCCACCGTACCAGTCACCTAAGGACTGTGAGCCCCAAAGCAAATTTCCCTTCCTTAAGTTGTTTTTGTAGTAACGAGGACAGTAAAAGGCACCGTAGTTCCTCATCTGAAAGATTTACGGTCTTCTGGGGGGCAGGGTCTGCTTGCTTAGGGTTGTCACATGGCACAGAGACCCCGCCTGGCATTGTCTTACTAGGATGACGCCCAATGTGCTTGCTCCAGGAACATTCATGCGCAGCCCATAGTGAGACTAAAGGAAGGACAAGATGGTTAGAGCCTGCAACTTTGCTCACTGGGAGAGGTCAGCTGACAGACTGTCCAGTGGGAGTTTGTGCCCAGTGCATGTTAGGGTCACCTGACCATGGCAACAGCCAGGACTTGCAGGGATTCTGAATGGCTCAGTTACAGTCAGAGCAGCAATCCTGAGTGTACTGGTGTATTGTGTTTAGATGGCCCAAGGGAGTGGAAGTCAAACCACATTTTTGATTAATCAATTAAAATGTAATAATTTAAGACATAGTCTTCCTAGGTAATCCAGACTAGAATGAAACTCTCAATCCTCCTGACTCAGCCTCCTGAGTTTTGATATTATGTATTTGTACCTTCACATGGACTCAGACTTCAGATTTTGAAGTTCTCCAAACCCGATATCCTTGTTAATAATGTCCATGTCAATGGTCACAGACAGAAAACTTCAGACGTCAGTAGGACAGATGGCAGAACCTAGTGACTTTACTCTAAGTGTGGTCTACACTGGCAGCCTGCTTTAGAAATTGGTTAGGATGAAGATGCCCAGGCTCGGCCGAGCCCTACAGACGAGGAGGCTGCATTTTGACAAATTTCTCGGGCAGTTCGTGTGTGTGTGTTAGAGAGGACTAGTACAGCTCCAACAGCAGTTCGTGTGCGTGTGCACACGCATGTTAGAGAGAACTGGTACAGTGAGTCCTCAGACTCCTGTGGGTGGCAATACTGCAGGGGAGAGTTGTGCGTTTAGTGGTTACCAGCAGACCCAGCCTGCACGTTCTGTTGGGTGCACAGTGGGTGTGAGGCAGGCCAGTGATGGGGATGAAGATAAGCAGAGAAAGACAGGCTCTCAAATCGGCTTTTTGTAGAGGTGTCACATGGCTCTCACAGGTCATATCAACATGACATTATATCTGGGTATAAAACTAGGGGCATAATTGGCAACTCCCTCATGCTTCACTGAGTACATGGCACACTCGCGACCAACAGAGCCCTTCTCTGACCACACAGCGGGCTCCGCTCCTTTGGTGGTCACTCCCTACCTCCTCTCTTCTGAAGCTTCTTCATACTTCTTAGTGGTCAGTGAGGTCATATTCCTTGGGGACAGGAACTCTGTTTGTCCCTGGTACATATGTGCTTTCTAAGCTCTCCATGGTTTGCAGCAGGCAATGAGGGATGCCCATGGGTGACCCCTAGTCTAATTGACTCCCGGAACCATATGGTTCTCGAGAAGACTGTGTTTAGATGCCAGAAAGCCCTGTTTTGTGCGACTGGGAGTTGACTGGTACTGGGAGGCTCTGGTAAGTCTCCCTTGAGGATCTGACTTATTTTTTAGGGAATAATAGGGAAGGGGACCAGTCAGGTGCTCTCATGAGGAACCTGTCAACCACCTGGAAGTCTCCATCTTGCTTTCAAATTCTGAGATACACCCCTCCCCCTTTCAGAGCCACTGAACAATCAGAAGCAGTTAGCATGACCGTTAGAGAAGAACAGGCTGTGTGTCAGAGAAGTACTTTAATTTGGCTGTTAATTATGGCCCATAGCCTCAGCACTCAGTTAACTGAGGCAGGAGGATCTCAGGTTGGAGGTTAGCACGAGCGACATGGCGAGATATGTATGTCTCACACACATGCAAATTCAAAACTAGCAACAAAAATGACTGTGATGATTAATCTTCATTGTCAACCTGACTAGACTTGGGATCTCCTAGAAGCCACAACTTGCACAAGCTCCCGTGGTGTAATGGTTAACGCTCTGGACTCTGAATCCAGTGATCTGAGTTCATATCTCGGTGGAGCCTTGAGGAAGAGACCAGGGAGACCTGGTCAGTCATCCTCGTCAGTTCAGACCATGAAACCCAATATAAGCAGGCATGCCCATGCATGCATGCTTCAGCATTGCTGGGGCTTGTTTAGGAGACACACCTCTGAGCCTGCCTGTAAGTGAATTTCAGGAGAGGTTTAATGGAGGAAGGGAGACCCACCCTGTGGGCAACACATGTGCTGGGGTCCTGGACTGAAGTGAAAGGAGCCACTGAGTTTGGTGCTGGTATTCCTCTCTGGAGCCTGGATGTGGGTGCAATGTGACCAGCTGCCGTACACTTCTGTGGTCACAGCTAGAGCTGCTCTTAGGCCTCCCCCTCCCCCCAATTGGGAGTGAAACTAACCCCTCCTTGAGGGACTTTCGTTGGGTAAAGCAAAGTGACTTTCCAGAGTCCCCCGCTGCCAGCTAGAACAGTCGCCTCCCCCCCACACCGTCCTGTGTCTTCAAATTGGTGAAAGATAACTCCTCAGTATTTTTTCTCTCACCCCTCAATATTCTCAAGCTCCAGTACTGCGGCGATTAGGAGGAATGTATTTAGGGGGTGCCTTGGCTGGTGAGGCCAAGAAAGTGCCACGAGGAGCCAATGCACTCTCCAGGCGCCCCCTCTGAACACGTGGTGTCTGACTTCTACGGAACAGAACAAGAAGTTCTTATTAGATGGGTGACTGAGGCCCATTCATTCTGGATTCTCATCATTTTAAAGCCAGTGTCTTCCGGGGCCAGTGTTCACTCAAGTTCTATTCTTGGAGCCAATGAGCGGCATGACCCTCAGCTGAGGGCTCTCACCCCCTCACCTCCTGGAGTAGAAATCAAAGGCCATGGGCACTTAACTCCTGAGTGTGAAGGAAAAGCCAGAGGAGGGGCCTCATAGTTTGAATTCTTTTTTAAAAGATTCTTTTTTTAATTATTATTAATTTTTTTTGGTTAGCATACAAGGTGATGGGTTTTTATCAAGGAATGAATCCTCATACAGATTTGTCATTATACTTTCTCAGTGGGTGCTCGGTGTCAGCGAGTGCATGCATGGCAATGCATGGTGAGTGCATGCATGCCATGCTGATGACATGCGCCCCCCTCCAGCCCTGGCTTAGGCTCTTTCTCCTCCTATGATGCTTGCTTTTCCCAGTGAGAGTCACTTGGTTTCTTAGCCAAAAGCCCGTGATGCCTGAAGCCAGGAGTGGGAAAAGGCCTGGGGAGCTGAGCCTGGGAGGAGTCTGAACCCTTGTTGCTTAGGATGCTGCTCGGATGAGGCAGGACAGGGTCCAGACTGGTGCCAGGACAGCACAATTGGCCATCAGCGGTGAAACTGAGGACAGACTCTTGCTAGATTGAAAGGAGTGTGGAGGGGCAGGACCTCTGTGCCACTTGCAGGGTCGGGAAATCTGTCTTGACAAAACACATCTTGGAGGATCCATGAAGGATTCCCAAGTTCACTTTGCTCTGCTTAGGAGATCCAGGAAGGGTGGAATTCAGTGTTTGGAAAGCACACACACACACAAACCCATCCCTAAGCTAAGAACAATGTGTTGGCACCTTATGGGTTGGGAGCCCTATGAAGTTTTCCTCTCATGCCCCCACCCCTTTTTTTTTTGGATGGAGTCCCATGTCCTTGAGTGCAGGAGGCTCTAAGGAGAGTGTTTTCTGAGTTTGCCTGATGGGAACTTCGGAGGGTGGACCTGTCACAGGACAAGACCTGTTGAGTGCATCGTTGGCCAATCAAAGGCTGGGGACCAGTGTCACCAGAACCGGATGCATCGTTACTTCCCACAGTAAAGCTTTCCGATTTAGTGAATCAACAAATAGGAAAAAGCACAATACTTGATTAAAATAACTGTTTCTAAAAGATAATCTCAAATCAAATGAAGAATTTGTTTGATGCCAGTATTGTAAAATGCACAAACTTAGTCAGTGACATTTTGAGGACATTCTAACAACTTCACTGCCCAGCCCGGCCCTGGCCTGGGACATGCTCACTTGAACTCGGTGCAAGGGCAGCCCCTCTTGGTTAGGCACAGTCTGCAGCCTCCAGCAAGTCAGTGATCCTTTATCATCCCTGCTTGGCTTGCTCCTTGTGGACTAGTCTGCTCTTATAAAGTCTGTACTTGCAACAGTGAAGGGCAGGGAATGTGTCAGACCCACGGAGGGACCAGGGCTGTCCTGGGTCTGGCTAGGCAGGGGGGATGGGCATGCATTAGGGCAGGGCGATGCCTCTGGGCTCTGACTGTTCCTAGTCTGTGCTGATAACCCAGTCACGAGCTTCCTGAGCCCCAGAGCCTTCTCAAGTTCTCTCTGCTCCACCTCTCGCCTTTAATCCTATTTCCAATCGCCCAGATGTCAGCTGTCCCCAGATACTTAATGATTATAAGGGGGAACAGGGAGGCATCAGAAAGAGTGGCCGGCAGGAAGGAGAGATAAAAGCTGAGAGCGACCACTCAGACCCAGCCGCGGAGTTTCAAGGGGATGATATTGTCTTTAGCTATTAAAGTTTTAAATTAACGCCTCTGTCACTTGAAGGGAAACTTGCAGACAAAGATCTGGCTTATCTGCTTCTAGGTCCACCTGCCCAGAAACTGGCACATTAGTGACTGTGAGCAAACAAACTGGGGAACAACTCAGCAGATCCAACTGACAGGCAGGTCTTGCTGATAAAAGTGTAAGTAGAGGTGCCAGCTACGACCCCTTTGGGGCTGTCTCCAGAGCTTCTGGGTGTGGTTATGTGTGTGGACAGGGCTCACACCAACAGGAGTACTCCTGGCCTCCAGTCTCCAGAAGCTGGGTGTGCATACTGCCACCCAGAAGCACCCCCTGTCCCACAGCAGTGCCAGATGCCCCCGTGAAACTCTGGAAAGGCTACCAGACATCCTACAAGCCGGGACGCCTGCCATCACGTCTAGCTTGGGCTCCCTGCTCTCAGTGATTCTTGGGAGCCTCCCTTACCCACGGCTGTCGGTTCTGACCTACATGCCAAGCCTCCGGCCCAGGCTGTGGCTGAGAGCTGAGCCAAGTATAGCTGCAGAGTTGGCAGCTGGGCTTCCAGCCCTCTTCGCAAGACTTCAGGTTCCCTGTCTCCACCGTGAAAGACTGGGCTCCATGGCCTCTCTGGTCATCTCTAACCCAGCATGATGCTGGGATCTTAGAATTAAGAGGCACCGTATGGTATGGGAGGGTATGGTGCACATACATGTTGGGGCTCATCCTCTTTCAGACATCGATAGTGAGTCCTAAAAGGCGCTTTAACCACATGACCAGGCACATGGTCATTCTGCATCAACAGTGGGGGAAGGGAAAGGTACCATTAGCCTACAGGCTCGGGGGACCTCTTTGCTCCTTCCCAGCTCCCTCCTCCCTCAGTGCTCAGCAGTTTTCAGAGCCATTCATTCTTCACTCAGAAAGATCCACCAGCTTCTCATGCATGTGCCTGAACTGGGTTTTCAGTCCCGTGAGGCACCTGTCATGGTCCCCGATATGGAGACAGGACGTGGATGCTGGGTGAGAGGGAGGAGCACACAACCCCCTGGCCTGGTGCTGCTTGAATTCTAAAAAGTAACACCTTGGAGACTTGGGCAGGGGTAGTGCTCATGGCCAGGAAAGCTGTGTGTTGCTGAGGGGGATGGGTGTCACTTGAGGAGGAAGCCACCAGGCCCAGGAGTGCACCAACCTCACTGCCCAGCTACCCTGATCGTTTCAGCTCGTCCCCTTTCCTGAGGCTTTATGGCCTGGGCACCTCGTGAAGTCTTGAACCCTCATTACCACGCAAAGCCCTCAGAGAGAGACTTGAACAATAACACCGCCCGGAATCAGAACAGGTAAACTCGCCAGCCCATTTCAGATGAAAGCAAAGAGTTGTGTTTTTAGTTCAGGTCAGTAGGATATAGGTGTGGCCTCTGTGAAATCTCGGATCTGTGAGACTTGGAAACAGTGGTAGAGATGCCTGCCACGCCTACAACCCACTCACCTTTCTTCTCACAAGGAGGTGAACCAGGGAACCTATGGTCCAGAAAAAAAGGGGGGGGATTCCCCTAAATCTGGTATCTCGTGCTGTCAGAGGTCTGGAGGAAGGCAGGTGCCTCCTTCATGCTCCAGTCTTTTTCTTTCCTCTTGCTTCTCCAAGACCAGCTGGGCAGCAAGAAGAAGTCTCTCTCCAAACAACCTCTCACCGTGGGCTCCAGCCCAAGTTTCCTGGGGCGCCAGCTTTTACCTCAAATGAGGCTTTTGATTAAAACCAACTGTTTAGCACCATATGGGCTCTCCAAGGATTTAGCCCACTGCAATCAAGGCACCTGGTACAAGCCTGGAGTTTGGGGTTTACTGAGTGAGTGATCTCCTCATCAGCACGGACCTAAGCCAGAGGGAGGGTGGGGCTGAACCCTCGCTGAGCTGGGTTCCCTCTCCTGGGGGTCCTGCAAGTCCCAGGTTCTCCATGCACTCACCAGCCTCTCTCCTGGGAACGCTCAGCCCTTGGCTCTGTCTCTTGAGTTCTGGGCTCTGCTCTTTGCCCTTAGGTCCTGAGAGAGAAACTCCACGCACCGAGGGCCTCTTTGGGTCAGGGTGCACTGAGCTAGAGAGCTCAGGGAGCGGGGCAGCTGTGGCACAGGACCGGCCCAACTTGCTGCCTTCTCAGATCACATGGGTTACTCTCCGTCCCGCCCAGCTCCGGGATCACCGTGCAGCCCTGGTGCTCCAGCAGGCGAAGTGCAAAGCGGAAGCCAGGGGCCCTTCTGAGAAGCGCCTGTGGGTGTGGAGGACAGAGTCTCCTCGTCCCCCAAGCTCGTTGGGGGAGACTGCGCGGGCAGGCAGGAAGAGCTGTCACACACCTTGAAGTCCTCTGAGCCCAGGTCCCGCAGAGGAGGGACCCGCCACACGTCCTAGCAGAGGAAGGCGGTGTCTCCTTGAATACCCATTCTAACTCTTCAAGGAGACACTTCACAGAGAGGAAAACCGAGGCTCAGAAAAGTACCCCACCCAGAGTCACTGACTAGTCAACGAGACTGTGAGCCCAGGGTTTTCAGCCAGAGTCGCGCATACCCCCAGGGCCTCAGATTGCAGACTGCAACCAGATCCAGAAGACCCTTCAGTGAGCAGCCCAGCCACTGGGAAAGGAGGTGGGCAAAAGGCCAGTAGCTCACACCATGGGAGGACCTGGTGATAGGAAAGGCCTCCAGATCAGGATGAGAGCCAATGAATTTTGCAGGCCTCAGTCAGCTTCAAGGCCAGTTTCTCTCAAGCTCAGCATCCTTCCCTAACCCTTAGGGGACTTAGCCCTGGATGTTGAGAGAATTCACCGCCCCTTCTCCTCCCAAGCATCTCCTCACCCTAAACGGGCTCCCCATTGCTCTATTTAGAAACCATCAAATAAGAAATATGTTTAGCTGGGCGTGTGGTCTTTCACACACACAAAACCCAACTCTTGGGAGACAGAGGCAGGAGAATTGCAGAGAGTTACAGACCAACCTGGGCTAGGATTGAATTCCAGCCAAGCCAGCCTGAGCTACAGAGAGAGACTCCCGTCTCAAACAATGGCCTCTATTCTTTAGGGACCTCTTTTACAACCTAGTTCCAGTGCCTGCAAAAATAGACAGGGGCATAGATAATAATCAGCTGCTGGGTGGACAGATGTGAGAGCCGCATCGCCTGTCTATCAACCGGAGAGGAAAAGGAACCTTAGGTTCCTGCAGAGATCTTTCAAAAACCACACAGTGTGTGTGTGTGTGTGTGTGTGTGTGTGTGTGTGTGTGTGTGTAGGGGGTGGTAGCACTGGGGCTGAATTGAGTGTTCCAGTGAGTTGGGTGAATTAAGAGTGGAACTGTTATCAATGACACAATTCCAATACTAACTTGAAAGTATTAAGTTTTACACAATGCCAAGATGCCTTGACTGTGGAAGCTGCTGAGTGTGTAAGGTCCTGGGATCACACCTAAAATTGTGAAGACAGATATCAGTTTCTTTCTACTCTAGTGCTTACTTATTTGAACTAGTTCTTCTCTTTTTAAGTATTAAAGGGCTGGAGAGATAGCTCAGCGTTTAAGAGCACTTGTTGCTCTTACAGAGGACACAGGTTCCATTCCCAGGACTCACGTGGCAACTCACAATCATCCAGGATCTATCTGGCATGGCTTCCGGCCTCTCTGGGCACTGGGCATGCAGGACTGCATATACATCCATGTATGCAAAACACCATTTACATACAATAAAAATAAGCAAATCTTAAAAAAAAATAAAGACCTTAAAAAGTTTTAGATGGAATCAAGGAGGTATACATTAAAGTGAAGCTATATGGCACAGAATATAAAGAATAAAAGATTAAATTCCTTTCACTCCCAAGCCCAATCTCTAAAAGCAATCGTCATTGATGATTTATATGATGTTTCTGACTTGTTTTGTGTGCATGAGTGTGAATGTATGTGGGTATATGATTGAGTATATGACTGTGTGTGTGTACATATGATTGAGTGTATGACTCTCTCTGTGTATGTCCGAGTGTATGACACACACTCTGTGTGTGTGTGCGTGTGCATGTATGTGTGATTCAGCAGTTGTGTGACTTGGGGTTCCTGGGAGAAGCATGACCTTCTGGCTGCCTCCCCCTGGCAGGCTGCCTCCCTCGGCTTCAGTGTTCTCCACGCCTGGTGGAGTAACAAAATCAATGTGGTACGTCCTTTTGGACTCGGTACACACAGTCCACAGTGGAGTGTGCCATGGGGGGGGGGGTTCCGGGTAAATGTCCACTACAGCCAGCAGAAATCTGTTCCATCCTGTCCGATGATCGCAGGACATGCACAGCAGGGCTGCTAGCTGTCTGTTGGTGGACAGATAACTTTTTTTTAGATAATTCTTCCACTTCCATCATCGTATCAACATTCCGTATTTATGGTGGCTTATACGGTACAGACATGATCACAACTCTATGGGAACACTTAGAACAATGTCTCTAGAATCAAATTGAAATTTGGAACTTTGATCGGAGTCAAAGAGTGTATGTGGTTTTCTTTTAAGGAGACTGTTTCAAAATTAGAAGCGATTTTAAAATTGTTGAAGCAAACTCAAAATTAGAGAAGGTGACACAGAGAACTATCAGCTTCCTTCAGCCACTTGGGAGGGACTTGTGGATGGACACATGTCAGCATGTTATGTGTGAAAACCAGGATGACCATCTAGAGAACCAAAATCCAGATTTCAGTCACTGAAGCTTGACGCTGCCCATCAGAGCCTTCTGCCTTTTCCAGGCTGTTTCCATAACATTATTTAGTGCTAACGAGTCTGGCCAGAATCAACTGCATCCAGCAGCCCTTGCTCTCTGTCTCTCTCTCTCTCCCTAAGCACATATGTGTGTGCTTGTGTGTATGCTAGCGGTGAGTGTGCATGAAGTGGGCCAGCAGAAGACATGAGCACCCTGTTCTGTCTCTCTCCACCTTATTCCCTTGAGACAGGGTCTCTCACTGAACCTGGAGCTACACTGGATGCCAGCAAGTCCCTACGAGCCTCCTGTCTCTGTCTTCTACAGCACCGCTCTTACAGGTATGTGTGACCATGCTCAACCTATGTGTGTGCACTTATGTGTAATGTTATACCCTATATGTAAATGTTGAATGGACACATCCCTCCCCCACAAAGTATTTATGTATTGCAAATAGGAAGAGAGAACTCTGACCACAGTGAAGCCTAGAAGACAGCCTTACTTCTAGAAGGTTCTTGTTAAATCGTGAGAAAGACCAGGCAAATCCAAAGTTAGGGACTACAAATAAGCAACCTGTACAATTTAAGCCTGACAAAGCCCAGAAGCCAAGAAAAGTCTGAGGGGAGGAGCCAATCTGAATATTAAGAGACAGTGGGGCTAGAGAGATGGCTCAGTGGGTAAGAATATTTGCAGAGTTCAAATCCCCAGCCCCCACCTAAGCTAACCATAACCAAGCATGGTGGTTCACACTTCAATCCCATCACTTAGGAGGCAGAAGCAGGTGTGTGTCTGTGAGTTCAGAGGCCAGACTGCTCTACATAGTGAGTCCCAGACCTTCCAGGTCTATATATAGAGAGTTTGTATAAATATGTATATGGTGTGTGTGTGTGTGTGTGTGTGTGTGTGTGTGCTGTGTGATTTGACCAGTCTCATTATGCTGGTTTCTCATTATGATCCCTGCCTTCTAGAAGGCCCTGTCTTCTAGGCTTCACTTTGGCCAAATTTCTCTCTCCTTCTTGGCAATAAATAAATTATTTGTGGGGAGGGATGTGTGCATTCAACATTGACACATATACCACCAGTAAATTACATTTCCATAAACAAATTCCAACAATGGCCGAGAACATGTTTTGTGTCTTTGCACTGTTACTTACCTAGTTCCTCAGGCTTCCTGGGGTCCCTTGGGGGATCCTCTCTGACTCCCTACATTTTAGCCTGCCTTGCAGTCTACCCTTCCTTGTTCTCTTTCTGAGGGGTGGGTAGCTTTCTCTTTCTAAAGGCTGTGTACTTGAACCTTGCATCTTACAGATGATGAAACTCAGCCCCTTTCCCCCTCCCAGAAGGCCCCAGCAAGCAATGCGTCCCTATGATCATCAGTGGCCACAGCAGGCCATCTTAGCCCTGCTTCATAGCCTGGCACAGGGGGTCCAGTTCCCTCTCTTCATAGGACGGGGAGAGCAATATGGCCCCTACCTTCCATTTAGTGGCATAAGGGCCCAGGGCCCCATGGTTTCTCCCAGAAGCTTACCTATGACAGTATATGGACCAGGGAAGTATTCTCTCTGCCCCCAGAAAACACCAGAAGGAAGAGAGCAAAGTAAGGACAGAATGGACACCATTAACATGGCAGGAGCTCAGAAGAGGGAACTGTCATTGATGTGACTCACACAGCAGACCTGCCCTGCCCCTACACAGGGTAACTGACTGCCGATATAGAAGATTTATCCAGCTCAAGTCTGATGCAGCAGCCCAAGTGACCAGGAGACAGAGCAAAGTTATTGGTCACACCCAGAGGCAGGGCAACATGTGGACAAAAACGGGCCGTTAGTAGAATCCAGTACTTAGAGACACCAGATGTTGGAATCATGACAAAGATTTTTATCCCAGTTTGAACATAAATTTTCAATCTGCTGAATGTCTGGTCCCAAACTGGCGGCGCCATTCTAGGAGGTTCTGGAAATGTTAGGGGGTGGAGCCTGGCAGAGGAAAGTGGGTGCCTGGTGCCAGTCCTCTGCCTCTCGGCTTCCCGTCTACAAGGTGCATGGCTTTAAAACAATCTCCCCAACACAGTGCTCAACTTCATGGAGCCATGTAGTCAAATAATGTGACGGAAACTTCTGGAACTTTGAGCCACACTAACTCATCCCTTCTTTAAGCTAGCTCAGCTCTTGTCACAATGGCAGAAGGTCTTACTGACACAGATTGTAAGGCAGTTTTCATACATCCACCTCACAAATCCATGTCATGGGATATTCCAACAGCCAATTTTAAGTCACCAAGCAATCAACCATGGATCCCTAAAGCCAGGAGGCCAGAGAGTCACCCATTAACTGTGCCATCTTGGAGAAGAATTTCAGTCCTGCTGTGCCTCAGTTGCTCTGTTGGCATCTCAGACTTCACCT